TCTCTCTCTCTCTCTCTCTCTCTCTCTCTCTCTCTCTCCTTCGTTATTTTCATAATCGATTTGTGTAAAATCTATTGATGTTGCCATGTACACTGTATAAAATATATCTGGGAGAAGGCTTCATAAGTTGGAATAACATGTGCCTAATCCATTTGCAAATTTCTGCAATAAAATTTGTTTAAATCAACAGATCTTTCTCATATTGCAATGATCGATTCTATTTCTTTCACATTAAGTACTGTACTAGTAAATATGTGAAATGACAAACTCACTTTGAAGGTTGGCTTTCAAACACATCAGTATAAAGTTTAGATCCAAAGTTACCTCAAGGTGCATTTACTGTTAACATGACTCGATCAAACAGATTAGAGGAAAGAAGAGAAAAGATCGAACTGACAAATAACTAATGAAGATGGTACAAAGGTGGGCCCAAGATCCCTCTGGGATCTCTTGTTACTTGATCTATACCATGGTAAGTCGTACCTAAGTTGGTCAGACTGTAATGTCTGTTTTTACTTGATCTATACCATGGTAAGTCGAACCTATGATTCTGAAAGCCATACTTATATTTATCAGTTTAAAATGTATTCCATAGGAAATTTAACTTATAAAGTTCAGCATTTAGTTCGAATAAGTTCATGAACCGTGTATGCATGTAGTTCAGCAGAAGGGTTCGGCTGTATCTTTGTTTATAATTATGACGTCATTAACATGATGACGTCCACATGTGGGCCATGGCATTCATACACGATATGAAAGTCTTCTAAACTGTGTAGAGTTACTATTTAGCGGGAAATGTTCGCCGCAGTTTTACTTTCGCCTGAGGGCGAATTTATCACGACAGAGAATATCAGCACACAACATACAATATATAGTCATTAAATGTGAAGGGCGATAATAACAATAGGCAAACGAGATTTTTATCAGTATGGCGAATATTTTACTGAGCGAAATTGACAACATGATTGGACTTTTGAACCTGGACTATTTATACGCAAACAGTAAACCCTACGCTAGACAAAACATAGGACGCTAACAAATGACAGCTCAAACAGATATTAAGCTGAACGATCACTCTCTCAATAGTACATGTGGTCGTGAATGGTGGTGTAAACAATATATATAATCTGGACGTAGGTTTTTGTTTATTAAAAATTAAAATCAAATTTCAAAGATCATATGAGAAACCGTAGCATATATTTTTTTATATTTGACTACGTCAAACAGTCTGTGCCATCTTTAATTCCGAATATATTCCGACAACTGGTCGTGACCCAGTATACAGTGCTCATATCCTAGCTAGACGTCAAGGACAGCACACACACGTTAGAATGGCACGGAACATTCCTAGTCTGGCTCAGAGCTTCACCATATGATTAAATATGATAAACAATTATTTAGAGGAAATATATTTTCGGCGGTATGCTACAAACACAAGGTATCTGTTCATTGTGACAATATCATAAACTAATTCAACTCATATTTTTGTTGATGGGGATGGGGTGGGGGTAAATAATATTATAAAACATCACAAACTATATTGATATCCTCGTGATGGCTTTTATGTTACAGCTTATCATCGTCCTATATCTAGGCTTGCCAGCAGAGGCTGTCCAGTCCATTGACTATCCTGTGGAATGGAAGAAATGTCTGAGAGAGATACGCAATGAGATCCCCGTAGATAAAGAGGGCGGATCCCTGACAGTAACCACGTGTCTTAATCAGTATCTGTTCTCAAACGGCTTTAAAACGTGGCATTCCGAACCAAGTTCAGACTACAAGACATTCTCAGAGGAATTCTGTCAGGTAAAGCCACCCGACGGGGAACCGATCAGAAAACGCAAGGAGTACCGCATGCTGTCAAAAGACGAGAAAACAAGATTTCACAGCGCTTTGAATAAAATTTGGAGCAACGGCGTAAGTAATAATTTACAATGAAAGTAGGATGAGTACCATTTAACGTACATGTATATTATGATACGAATTCAAATTTATTTATATAACGTATTCGTAGTCAGTATTATAAAGGATAATGTAATAAAGAGGTACCTATCGCCAATTAATGTTCAGGTGAGACGTTTCGATGACTTGTACAATATGTACTTTGTCACTTTCATCAGTCAAATGACCAGTGAAGCGTTTGCATACAGTTATATGAAATATGTACTTTGTCGCTTTGTCATCAGTCAAATGACCAGTGAAGCGTTAGTACACAGTTATATGAAATATGTACTTTTTCGCTTTGTCATCAGTCAAATGACCAGTGAAGCGTTAGTATAAAGTTATATATTTACATGTGCATGGCATTGTCACTATATAGCCTCTTTGAAAGTTGTGTCGTTGATAGGACTTTAATTACCATGCAGCACGAGACACAATTCTTAGCGTATTAATACAATAGGAAATGGCCCCCTACGGCAAATTCATAGGTCTTCTTTATCCACAGCTAGAACAGATTGCTCTCTTTGTCCAACATAATTGTATCACATCTATTGAGGAACGTGCGTACTACGCCCAATGTCCGAGTCAAAGGCTGGCCAGACCAGACGTTGAAGAAGCACTTAGGCGTAGTACGGACGCTGATCAACAGATGTGATACAATTTTAAAGAACAACAGGACCAACGGAGCAATGAGAACATATGGATATCCGGAATTGACCCTCAAAGAGACCAATCAAGAAGAAAAACAAAATGAAAGGTCAGATGGTCATCCCGATTTTAAAATGACCATCCGCAGGACATACTGCGGCCAAAGCATGGCAGTACAACAGCTAAAACGGGTCGAGATGATTACTTCTAATATATTGTAGAATGAGGAGGAAACAGCTGTATTGTGAATTATAATGCATTTTGGCAGACTGTATCAATTACAATACACTTCATAATACAGTTCATAGATGCAATCACTTATCGGTGCCCTATGTTTATCTTTCAAGATACTCTATCATGTTAACGTTGTAACGATACTTTTCATTGGTTAATAACCGTGTCGTATTATTTGACGACAGACCATGCGTGTGCTTATATTGTAACGTTATGCCTCTGCACACCTTATCCCCGATGTTTTTAGTGATAGGTAAGAGTTATTTCCCTTGTTATGTTTGTCATTTAGATAGTTAATTGTTAATTACTGGATAATCGTCATGTATAATTTAGGTTTAGTTATTTCAGAATTATAAGCGTATGCACCTTTTACATAATTAAGCATTAGGTTAGTGATAGGTCTTTATGTGCAGATTTGGACAAGGTTGTAAAATTAGTAAAGTTAGAATCATCTGTGTACTGCTGTATAAGACGGCGGCCGTATGGTGTTCAGGGCGCTCCAACCGTGGCAGCCAGGTCATTGTGTTGCGAGCACGGCTCCTCTGTGTAGTGCGTGGACCGGCCGGTCCACTTTACACTGAGTTAGCTGGAGCGACAAACCACCATCCCCTGCCGAGGGCTGCGACTAGTCAGCCGGTACTACTCCTTAGGGGGCTGCGACCAGTCAGCCGATTCCTATATCTTACCGGGAGCTTTCCTTAGCCTAATAGCCTTGTCCAAACCTAACTATTTCGCCGCCGGTAGGGGAGATTGTACCAGGGGTTCCAGTTTGTGCCAATAAACCTGTTGCCTTTCCTTTTGATTTCTTGTTCTCCTTGGCTCGGCTCGGCCGGGCCGGTAGTCATAACAGAACCAACCCACAAGTGTCCTTAGTGGGGCACGGAAACGTGGCGTGTTTCGGGGGCCGTTCTGCCAACGCTACCAACTGAGGCAGACCCCGCACACGTTACAATATCATTTTTCTGATAGACCAACGCGCTTCCAAAATTATCCCCTGCGAATGTGAACCAGGGAGCCGTGGGACTGGTTTCCGGTACCAGCATTTAATATTTTATGTATTTAAATAGTTTGCTAGCGGATAAACTAGATTTTCTAAGGCATCTGTAGATATATTTAAAACCTATCAAGCCCACGGTCAGAACGTTCCGCTTAACCTACCCGGTTACCACGAAGGTGACATGAAATGTGTCAGTAAATCAGTCGCATGTCATGTCGATTTCATGTGTTGACGAGCGAAGTCAATAGAGTGGGGGATTCGATTGATAAAAAACATCTGGTATAAAGCATGACGTCAGGACGAAACAGCTCTATGATACAGTTACATGTAATTCATTTCTGACTTACTGTATCAATTAACCAATGGTATAGGAGCAATGGCCCGTGTGTGTCTTACGTCCATCTCGCCCATACCTACTATATATAATTATAATCAACCATTTTTATTGTGATGGGTTCAATATTACTTTTCCTATGATAATAAGGTTTAGTCTATGCATCAAAAAACACTACTCTTATGCTAATTAGAATTACAATGTATATTTATGTGTTGGTTATATTTTATTTCTATAATAATGAGATTAATATTGGTTTGTCCAATGTTAATTATTACTATGCAATTAGGGCCATATATGTATGTTTGTATGTATGTATGTCATATATAATTATTTGGCTTGAAGTCCAATGTGCCACTTTATTTATTTATAGACATACGATCACATAGTACGCTTCCATGCCGACTCGAGTGCGGTACCTGTAGCTCATGGCGGGCCTGGCTTCCAACCCTGGCATCGAATCTATCTTATGAGGTGAATTGAAGCTCTTATCATTGTTTATATACATTACGGGCTCTCACAGCTTAATGAAGACAGTATTGCTTGCTTCCTTATCATCCCTAGGAATGGCAAGCTACTAATTTTGGAGTTATTACACTAGTGATACTATGGGTATACCACTGGAGGCAATAACCTTATCGCTGAAGTGGATAGTGTTTTCCGCTAAATTCGTTGTCGACAAGCTCATTCATGAATGCTTTTACTAAAAAGCTTCGGCTTTTATAGTTATCCAACGAAATGAAACTATGTACGGGTTTGTCATAGCAGAGATATTATTGTGTCGCATGATCCCCGTATCCCTTGTTGGTAGTCTCTGCCTCCGACAATGAGCAGAGTAGATCTACTATTGTTTACATGTCACGTTTGGCATATACGTGGAAAATTACCTCTGTTCATATTTCTCAATGTTACAAAACAGGCCGATAATTAGGCAATTAATTACAGATTGGAACCATCCCATAACATGCAAGATAGTGGGTATCAATACAGAGCGGCACTTTGGTCAAATATACTTTATATACTTTGAGGTCAAATCTTTAGATTTGGGTAACACCGGGAGTGACGGACAAGGGGGCGGTTGAATTGAAGATAATGCTGCAGGGCTATCCATCTAGTAGCGACCAGGTCCATCTTGGATGACATAGAGATAGGAACGAGAGTGTGAACTCCCCAAACCAGACAAGGATAATTGTCATTGCCATATGGTACATCTAAGTATTGTTAGGTTGGTAGGGGAAAGTTAGATTAGAAGTTAGATTAATTGTCGCACGTGCCTTATTATATATGTACAAGGGGTGGTACAGGATCATGAAAAGTTAATAAGTGGTGTACTCTGAGTTTTGATAAAACGGACTTGCAAAGAAAAATCGAGAGAGATGATCCAAAGGAAGTATGAGAGAATGTCCGCTCCAGTAAGGGGCCACAACACGAAGTACAAGTAGTCAGCCTGCTTTGTCACCAATTAGGATTTATACATGATATTGCAATGCTAATATAACTGTGGTCAAACATTAATTGGGTACGACGATTCCGATAGAGGAGCTTTAATAGTACCGAGAGACGACCTAATGATAAGGCCTTCACGTTTGATATCATTCAAACAATTACAACTGAGTATATTAGATGTTTGACTCTCTAAAAGTACCGAATGCATACATGAAATATTTCTTGAGTTAAAATTGATCATATTATATCATTATACTACACCGACAAAGCATAGGGATAATGGATGCAGTACACAATGAAATATTTTAAACAGGAAATATGTATTGAACATTCCGATAGGTTTGGAGGTTTCAAGAATTTGTTATATCAAGTAACGTTTTGAATAAAGCACACGTTCGTAATTAAGGTAAATTGGGGATGTGTGGTCTACCTAGTATTCATATTACTGGAACATTTTAAAACTTTAAATACTTAATACACCACGAACTGCTTACAAATTCAGCTTGTATTGTGAGTATGGGTTTTGACACGGGTCACTATTGTACACGTATCAAAACTACACTAAAGTTTAGTTGGTTCTTTTAAAATAGTAATCGTCATACGGGTGTTTATAAAAGATGTTACTGTTGTGTTTCTGAATGATTAAAAAATGTTATATAAAAACTATTCAATATTATGTTACGAAAGTTCCATTTGATAATTGCAAAGTGTTTTACAACGCAATCAACTTTCATTAAATAGTATGTGAGAATTACTAGGTTCAGTCAGTGTTTTTGTGTGATTTTTCTTTCTCTTTTAACGGATAATGCTATTTTTTCAGGTTGGAAGATGAACTGCGCAAATATGAGCCTGACCTTACTTTTCCGTATTGGGATTGTCGAGTGGAAGCCGAACTGTACGAGGAAGGTCTAGGACCACACTGGTCCAAACTATGGAACAATGGATATGCAGGTTACGGGGCCGATATTGTGACAAAAGGACCGTTCAAAGACTGGCAACTACGGAGACGTTTCGGAGATGGCAACCTTCCCAATAGAAAGCGTGTAGAAAGGCTCTTCAATTTCACAAAAGAGGAAGTCACTTCATTACCTTACGGGAGTACACCATTTGGACTCCTTGAACGCATACACAACTCAATACACATGTGGGTAGGTGGAGATATGGTATATATTTCCCTTGCTCCAAAGGACCCGGTATTTTTTCTTCTTCATTGCTTTATTGACTATCTCTGGGAATCAATGCGTACTTATTACAAAGATAAGTATGGTGTCAATCCTGCGGAGAATTTCCCAAACATCTCCACATTATCATCTTCGGCACAAGTCTACCACAATAAGAGTAGTCCTTTACCAGGATTCGAGCCATTGACCCTATTGGATGGTTATTCAAACCAATGGACAAGAGATGTGTACAGCTACGAGTCAAGCCCAATGGATAAGGACTGTTCAGAATGCAGCGACAATGATGTGCGTAAAAACTGTATAGACATATGTGGGAGGAATCTTAAGTGTCGAAATGGAAAATGCGTCCCAAAGTTATTAGTTCCGACATTCTTCGATGAATTTTCAACCGAACATCGACCACCAACATCCAGAGTTCGCCGAGATACAACAGCGGAAGATCACTGTCATGGAGGAGTGTGCGACTTTGCCGAACCGTCTATCCAAAACGATTTTATGTGGAATGGAGACGATGATACGAATCACTTTAGGTGGGTTCCAATAAAGGTGTTAAACAGAAGACCACTTCACCAAAAATACAACACATATGCTGTACATGACAACCACATTGACACGTCCAATGATATATTCGACCCGGTACTGTTTCCACCGTTGGAACAGGAGCTGCCCGCCGGCGACCCGGGGACGTATGACCATTGTTTCGTACAGTCGGTACAGTCTTATGTAGTCATTCGGTCGGATAGTTTGTCTGCGGTCAGCTCACCACAAATAGAAAAATGTCCATTTTCTGGAAAGTACGCCTTCGACACGGAGTACGCCTACTTAGCGGTGGGGAACCCGCAGCAAGGTCCCGTCAACGTTTCCTTCATTGCCTATGATCAATGCGGTCGTTTGTGTACCCCATATTGTCGACAGCCGGACAGTCAGTTCAAACGATGTACCGGACTTTTCCAACTTGACGGGTCGTATGACGGGTATGGAGATAATCCATCACAAGTGATTGCCAAACAGCTCTACACAACAGACGGTTTACACGACCTAAATGACGACAACGTGTTTCTCGTGTTTGATTGCGATGCGTCCATGGAATACTACTTTGATAGGTTCCTTTAGAGTCGTCATCAATCCAACTCTGTCCAATTAAAAACCTTAAAGAAATACACATATGGATATATTTTTCTTGCGACACCCCGTTGTTTATAAAGAACGTGTTATATGAGAAAAATCGATACCACGGTATATATAACATTTTTTAAAAGATGATTCAAAATAAACTCTTTAAGGACTTTCTTGTGTTTGTTTGTTGTTTATCATCGGTCATAATCGGGCTGATAAAAAATTACAAGAAATGCAACTTATGACTAATTCTGGACTATAGCATCCTTTACGCTCACTTACGCTCTCTGCACCCCTGGAATATGGCATAGCAAAATTGAAGGCTCAGTGTGCGCCACCTTGTTGGTAAGACAAGAAGACTAGTTCGATCCTTTGATGTACTTCAAAAGAATCTCTCGGTCGCGTAACGGTAAAAAATGACTGGCTTTGAAGTCGTGTGTCGCTCCTCTGTAATCTTCAAAGGAAATGTATCATCCTGGCGATTGGTCAGTGTTTTTTTTTTTTTTACCTGAGACCAATCAAAAAGATACCTTCGTGCCTTCAATTTTGCTATGGATATCGAGGATGGGACTATAGTCGATATCAGTAAAGTCAATTCTGTATGATATATAATTAATGATCAAACTTTTAAAATGTTTGAATTTTGACTCGTTTTTTTCTTTAATTTACAATGGTCAAACAGTTACACTAATGATATGGGAGTTATAAAGAAATCATGGAGTAGCCGTCTTTGTGATAAATGCACCAGATGCTATATATTTATTTCAACATTTATTATCAACATTCATGGAATTGACAAAACGATAGAAAAACAAACACACCTATATATTTACATTCTTGATGTTTGTTCTGTTCATGAATCTATCACGCACGAGGCAAATTATTCCCGCTATACTGCCAACCGCGGGAATATTTCATTATCAATCGAAGACGAATCAATTTTAATCACCCATCTGGAGTTTAAAGGCAATTCAGTTAGTATCAATATTGGGGAGGGGTGTAAATCTTTCATGAGAAAATCGAAAAGGAAAACGCTGTGTACCTTCAACAGAGGAATGGAATCAGTCACCATATGCTCAGAAACACTTCAGAAACAGTCTGTGTTCCCCTTGAAATTATTTTTAATAAGTCTTTATCGTCTGGTGTTTACCCAATCTATTGGAAAACAGCCAAAGTTATGCCACTGTTTAAACAAAGGTGACAGGCATTCTCCCTCTAACTACAGGCCAATTTCTTTATTATCTACAGTTGGAAAAGTGTTTGAGAGGGTAATTTTCAAAAACTTCCATAATTATTAAATTAAAACTCGATTTTTTATAAGCACCAGTCTAGTTTTTTGCCTGGTCATTCTACTGTATATCAGCTCATTGAAATTTATCATAACATCTGTATTGCTCTAGAAGAAAAAAAACATGTATGTATGGTATTCTGCGATATTTCTAAGGCTTTTGATAGGGTTTGGCATAAGGGTTTGATGATTATGGAATTTCAGGGGAATTGTATCATTGGTAAATTACCTATTTCAGAGGCACCAGAGAGTCTTTTTGAAGTCTTCTTACTCCGACTTAGGTTTCATTGAAGCAGGTGTTCCACAGGGTTCGATTCCTGGACCTCTTTTGTTTCTTATCTATATTAATGATATTGCTGATGTGTTTGAATCAACCTCTCGTCTTTTTTGCACACGATACTTCTTTGTTAAAATCCTCCTCTTCATGTCTAGAAATCCAAACGGTTATGAATAGAGATCTCGAGTCTCTTAATGCATGGTCCCAATCTTGGTTAGTAACATGCAATCCAGAAAAAATAATTAATTTTTGTTTCAAACTTGGTTGAAATTGATGAAGATTTACAATTAGAATTTAATGGCGAATTTTTAAATTTTACTGATCATCATAAACATTTAGGTGTAATTGTTAGACTAAAATACTTATTAGATCGTGATAATCTTTTAAAGTTTATAAATCATTTATTTTACCAGTTTTAGAATATGCTTGTGAATTGTGGGATGGTTGTACAATTTATGAAACAGAAATGTTAGAGAAAGCCCAAAGAGAAGCGTCTCGTATTATAACTGGTCCTCCTTCATATGCCCGAATTGAAGACTTCCTTTTTGAAACTGGTCTAGAAACTCTTTCGAATAGAAGAAAACTCCAACTTTTGTATAAAATGCACAACAAATTAACTCCAGACTATTTAAATTCTCTATTGCCATCTTCCGTTGCAGAAATAACAGTTATACCCTTAGAAACAATGATGATTATAGAATTCGTCCTTTCAGGCGTTCTCTAACAAATTCATCTTTTATACCTTCAACTCTTCACGGTTGGAATTCATAAGACTTTTCAGTACGGTCATTGACCTCATTACATTCTTTTAAAAACTCCTCAACTTCAAATGTACTATCTCCTCCACCAATATACTTAGGTTTCGGTGAACGTAAATTGAACGTTTTGCATACTAAACTTAGACATCAGTGTAGTCCACTTAAATTTGATCTTTTTAGAGTAAATCTGGTTGATAGTCCAGTTTGTTATTGTGGCCATCCCTTTGAAAATGCATTTCACTTTTTTTGTGAATGCTTTACTTTTTAACAACGAAAGACATACCCTGCTCCAAAATTTAAATGCCTTGCATGTTGATTTTAATTTAGAACTACTTTTGTTTGGAAATAGTCAACTTTCGGTAGAAAACAACATAAGTATCTTTAGACATGTGCATCATTACATCAAATCCAGCAATAAGTTTTGATAGTTATGATTACTTTTATATTTTTTATTTATGTGTAAGTTGTTATATGTGTTTATGAAATTGTATTTCATTATTTTGCCTGATTTATTTGTTACATTGATTCTGTTCATTTTGAAATTACTCTACCAGGATGCATGTCATGAAATCTGTATAATTCATAATTTATTCAAATGCGGATCGATTTCTCAGTAACAGAATAATTCGCGATGACCTATGAGAAATGTTGAAATTTCGCGTTTTCCTGTAGATAGGAACACATAGAAAATAAAAGCAATGCGAATGGCACAAAGAAATACAAACGTACAAAGAGAGAGAAACGAATGATATGGTCACATTACCATACATGAAATGGGTGTCGGAAGCAGTTTCAATAGTGTTGCGCAAACATCACACCAGCAAGCCCATGCGACTACACAACACCAACTATTAGTTCATCCAAAAGACAAATTGCCGAAGGATGACAAAACAGTGGTAGTTTACGGAATTCCATGTATCAGCTGCAACTTACATTTAAGGACTGACCTTCATTTTGACGGCGTATACGGTAGTATGAACGCAGTTGGCAACGAACATATGCTATGGTGCGCGTTATACAGTACTACCGTTTACGCCGTCAAAATGAAGGCCAATGATATATATTTACATTAAAAAAAATGTTTAAATGCTTCATTACGCAGAAAAAAAGTCGAAGCGGGTTGCCACGATGGTAACTACGGTAAGCCGTGGTTGCTAAGACAATATAGTTCCAGTGTATCTACATTGATATATGAGTAAATTTAGAAAATACGCAGTGAACAACACTATTTTTTTTCTTTTATGTTGTATTTTTTTATTTTGAATAAAGCAATATGAGAAGCCCTTCAAACTTTTCTATTCATTTACAACGGTCGTCATGTACGCGCATTGACACACTGCTCATGGAGTGACGCGGTCAGAACGAAGCCGCCATTGTTGACGTTACCGCTAAAGAAATTTGAATGTGCATCCATGGAATAAGAAGTTGGTCAGCATTCTTTTGTTGTATAAGTAGACATAATGGATCCCGAATATGTTCTATGTATCAAGGTGTTTTGGGAATACCCTGGCCAAATTCAAGAGGGACATACAAACTCGCCTCTTCACGTCTGCATCTCTGCAAAGACGTCATGTAAATACCACCCTTTATTTGTTCAATTATGTGCACATTGCTGGCTTAAATGTATAAAAGTTATTTAAGCCTTTGTTTTTGTTCCACAGTTATAACTATTACTATTATCCATATGTTGTAAAGCGCTTTAGAGTAATTTTACAAATTATATAGGGCGCTAATGTATAAATGTTGTATTTTATTATTATTATTAGATGGGGAATGATCCAAGCATTGGTTGTCATTGGACTGTTATCTCGCTGAAGCGTGAACGGCGCCTTATTTGAAACAAGTATCAAACCGTCGAGCCTTTATTTCACAGCGTATTCGCTAATTTATACGCAGTCAGAGTTTACTAAGCTGAAGAAGGGAGACATGTAAATATTTATCTGAGGACAGTGGCCGGAGATTTGGGGCACGCCTAAAAGAACATGAGAAAGACGTTGAAGCCATAAAACAGCGAGTCTACAGTAGAAATACAAAGAAGACATCGGAGAGACGATAAATAAATCAGCCATTACAGACCACGCTAACACACACAACCACACCAATCAGCCATTACAGACCACGCAAACACACACAACCACATCAACCAGCCATTACAGACCACGCTAACCCACACAACCCCATCAATCAGCCATTAAAGACCACGCTAACACACATAACAACATCAATCAGCCATTACAGATCACGCCAACACACATAACAACATCAATCAGCCATTACAGACCTCTCTTACACACACAACCACATCAATAAGCCATTACAGACCACGCTAACACCCACAACCACATCAATCAGCCATTCCAGACCACGCTAACACACACAACCTCATCAATCAGCCATTACACACCACGCTAACACACACAACCACCTCAATCAGCCATTACAGACCACGCAAACACACACAACCACATCAACCAGCCATTACAGACCACGCTAACACACACAGGCACATCAATCAGCCATTACAGATCACGCCAACACACATCACCACATCAATCAGCCATTACAGATCACGCCAACACACATAACCCCATCAATCAGCCATTACAGATCACGCCAACACACATCACCACATCAATCAGCCATTACAGGCCACGCTAACACACACAACCACATGAATCAGCCATTACAGACCACGCTACCACACACAACCACATCAATCAGCCTTTACAGACCACGCTAACACACACAGGCACATCAATCAGCCATTACAGACCACACTAACACACACACCCACATCAATCAGCCATTACAACCCACCCTAACATACACAACCACATCAATCAGACATTACAGACCATGCTAACATAC